TCGACTTGAAAAATGTGATTGGAGTCGCCCCCGATTATTCATTTAAAAAAATAGGTTAATCGGATACCTTATATCTTACCTGATCTGCGTCATACCAAAGATATGTCGGATTCGGGAGTCGGTTACGGTCAAGGAAGGATTAGCACCCTTGAACCGCCCTTTCGGTACTACGTAATTTCCAGTTGTTTTTAATTAAGAAAATCGAAAGTTAAAATTTAAAGGTAACATATGATCCAAAATTACTTACCTCCGATCAATTTGAAAGAGTACCCTTAAAAAGTCAAGAAACGCGTTAAAGGAAAAAGGAAATAAGAGTAAATGAAATAAAGAAAATAGAAGGGAAAAAATAAAAAAAATGATGAAAAACTAAAAGAGGAATAAAAATATATAATTATTAAGTGCAAAATAATAATAATGATAATAAGTAGTAAAATAAAAAAAAAACGCAATCACACCAAAAGAAAGTAAAAAAAGAAAGTCAAGGTTTGGTGAAGTATAAATGTCGGGAAGGAAAAAGACGATAAGGGGTAGGACCGTAGTTAATAAATGAGTGTGATGTATCCCTATAATATAGTAAGAATGAATAAACAAAACAAACATTATGATATAATATATATATATATATAATAAATATAATAACGAAAAAATATAATTTAATAAAGTAAAATTATAATAATGTAATATAATATAAATACATGAAAACAAAAAAATAAAGAAGTATAAAATATAAAAATATAATTAAATGTATATATATATATGCATATGTTTAAAAAAAATAAAATAAAAAATAAAATACAATAAAAAATATACATATAATGATAATAATAGTAGCAAAAGAGAAAAATATATTTATATACGTTAATAGTAAAATAATAATAATATAATAGTTATAAATATATATATAATAACTTTAAAAACATTAAAATAATATTAGAATAAAAATAATTATATATATATATATATACTTAATAATACGAATTATCAAAAGAATAAATAAAATATGAAAATAATACATAAGGGACCGTTCATCGGCGGCAAACCTCGAAAAAAAATTGATTTTTAAAAGCCTTTCCTTCCCTTGTTTTAAATATTCTAGTATTTTTCCAAAACGGCCTCGAGGTTGTGTAGATCTAAAAGAAAAGTTTCGAACGACAACCCCTTTTCCTCGGCCAAAACTGTTTTTTTCAAGCACAAAGACGAATAACAACACATGCAAGTGAAGAAAAGAATGCGAAAGGTAAAAGCTTTCACCTTTTATTGCTCCTGAATTGTTTACAATAGCTTCAAAACAATCTATTTGCTCGTATTTTTTTCTGGTAATTTCGTATGCCCATCGTGTGTTACAATAGTGAGCTACAATGGCTATTTATAGTACTTGTGGATCCTATCTTTAGGAGTTTAAAACATAGCAAAATTCTATCCTATTTTTAGGAGTTGAATCCTAGCAGAATTCTATCATATTTTTGAGAGTTTGAATCCTAGTAGGACGAAAAAAGTGTGTTGACAGTATGATCGTAAACTCCACACTGAAAAAAATCTGCTGCAGTCCCTCGTACTCAAGTTTCTGCCAGAACCCATCAATCTTGAGGCATGGAATTAATGGCTTATTCATATTAAATAACACTGCCAAGCAAGAAAACCGACCTTTTTCGCCCGAGTTGGTGCTATAATCAATCTTAACAACCTGACCAATGACCGCATCAATATGACGGAATAACCTTTAGAATAATATCTATAAGGAAGACCCGTTAATCTCACCCAGACAATGACCTGGGATGGGTGCTTTTCCATCGTAGAGAAGGTACGACTTCATGGTTGTACAGTAAGATAACTTCCGAAGATGTCCACGGCCCTTCCATCAAAATATGAATATAATTCTGTTCACTCTCAAACTTCACTAAGAAATAATCGTTTTCTAAATCAATGACCTGATACTTCCCCGAAGTTGCCACAGGAGACCGATACGATTCAGTAGAGTTTTATAACCAATGGTACGTCCAAGCACCTGGACTATCACCAAGCGCCGCATACTATGATCAATTATGTCGTGGACTTGATCAGCAAAGTGGATCACAGGGTATGGACCATTATTGTTCACGATACACTCCTTATCAAGGACAATCACCTTATCCATGACTTGAAGGGAAACCACATCCACAGCCCGTTTCGATTGACCCATAACAGCATTGGCATAAGACTGCTTTTTCAGTTTCTCGACTTCTTCACCATTATTATCCACCATCATATGAACTTCCATACCATCCGGAGCCTCCTCCAGATTCTCTTCATTCTTTTGTTTATTGCGCACTTTTTTAGTTACACGTTGTTCCTCATCCAGAAAAGGGGAACCTGGTCTTTCCAAAGATAGAGATGCCACCACTACCGGGCCAAGAAAACTTCCAGAGTTGTTACCTCTGATCGGGGGAGGTGTCGGAGGAACAAAGGTAGACGGCGGAGGGTTGCAGGATCCCTAGGGGAGAATTAGGGTTTTCCATCTTTAAAAATTGTTATAAAGTTGAAGTTCATTTGATTTTGATTCCTTACGTACTTTCACGCTCTCTTTTCGCGTGCGTTATGTTTGTTTCAGTGAATCTTTTACTTGGGTTTGAAAAGAAGTCAAAAGCAAAAGTTTAAGGAAATGTCTAAAAGTTGTCAAGCGATCAAAGCCGTCCATTAGGGATTGTGGGATCCATCGTTGAAAAACGCTTACAGTGGAATTGGTAATTTTTCTTTTCAAATTAGTGTGTGAATTTGGAAATTATTATCAAATTGATATTTAGTTTTGACCTGATATTTAAATAATCAATCGATAAAGAACACTTATTAACGTTGATATTTTGTTGATGTTAACTTAATTGGTTATTGAAGTAACTTGTGAAGGATAAACATGTATCAATTTTTAAAAAATATTTCAAAAATAATTTTATCGATATAAAAATCAAGTACAAATTTAAGAAAAACTAACACTTCAAAATACCAATTGAGATAATATACCTTCGAAAAATGTAAAGGGTAAACATATCAAAGTCGTCCATTTTTATTATAAGTGAGTCCTATAATTTAAGGTTTTTTTTCGTTATTTATGAAATATTTTATATTGCTTCAAAACTCAAGTCATTTAAGATAAGTTTTCTAAAGAGTTACTTGTTTTGATGGTATCGGTATTGCTTCATGCATATTTCAACTAATTCAAAAATAGTTATAATTGTTTAAAATAGTTAGAAAAAATATGCACGAACCAAATTACCTCAATGATTAAAGGAATTGTTGTTATTTCTAGAGGTATCATGTTTGAGCACCAATGACTGCACCATGAGTGATTAAACATTCATTGTCAAACGATTGAGAGTATTTAGAACATATACTACTTTGACTTCAAAACCCTAAAGTTACATTTACAACTTATTTTGGCGAAAATTGAGATCTTTTGAATAAATTTTATTTGGAGTCGTCATCGACCTGGGTTATGTAGGTCAAATACCTAAAAATTTATTTTAAAACAGTTTTAAGAAAACTCATTTTAAAGACGAAAAATGGTTTGTGTTTACCAAAGATTCAATTTAAAGGGTTCGAGAGTTGATTACGCGTGGTGAAGGGTAAACACCCCACAACGCCCAAAACTAGTACCTAGTCGCTTATCATTGTCATAGTAATGGAATTTGAAAATTCAAATACAATTCAAAATAGGATCCTTTTTTATTAAAAATTGACTAATTTATTTCGAATTATTTGTTAAAGGGACATTTCCATTATGAGAAGAAATCACGGGATTTGCACATGTACCAATAGAAAGTCTATCCCATCTATTTCTTCTTCATGAAAGAATACCCTTTCTTTATTAAAAATCACAAAAATGCGCAAATCAAATATAAATGAGATGAAAATTGAATGATAAAAAAATGAGACATGCCGATAAAAAAGATAAAAATATTTTATTTTAAAAAAATAGTATTTAATTAAAAAAACTCGATTCATTTTAAGTTCACTTTTCATTCAAATCTGGTATTGAATTGTACTACTTCTATTAAGTAGTTCTTTTCACGTTCATTCTACCATAGATCTCGAAAATATTTGAGCAAGACATTTCTAACATATGTTGACATACAAGTGTTTTATAAATTATAATCAAATAAACAAAAAATAGATAAATAAAAAATAATAAATAAATATATATATATATATATTGAAATATAAGGATTAAAAAATATTTAACAAACATATATATATATAGTATAATATTCTCATACATAAAAAAGAACATACTACATATGTGTACATAAGTATACATTTATAAATATTATAATATAAGGCTAAAATGAACTATACGAGAATATATATATATACTAAAATTTGAAATAAACTAAATCTATGATATGCAATAAATACAAGGATTAAATCATAAAAGAAACAAAACAATAAGGACCGAATATAAACTAAGGACAGTGACTAAACAAATAAAATCCAAGGCCCTAAACATATCACGTATAAATCTCCTACAACGTGAACTAAGGACCTACATGAATAATTCTTAAACAGGAGGCCAAAATCAGAATGAACATGTTATAGAAGGTGAATACCTCTCGCACGATTTACCCAAAGACCAAAACGATGGCTCCTAAGGGCGCCAAAATGACACCGTATCAGAGGGGGAATATAAGCCTTCTATCAAGGCCTAAAATCCCCTCTAACCCTCATTTTTATTTTTTTAACACAAAAAAAACAAGAAAATGAGAAAGAATCATCTGAATTTTTCTCTCCCTAGCCTCAAACGACCACCATGTGCCAACTCATCAACAACCGTCTACGGTGGCCGGCATTCAAAATGACACCTGAAAAGAGCCTTCCCAACCTCCTAAACCCATATCTAAAGTCCTTTATGCCTAAAATCCAACAACCCAACCTAGATCTAAGAATATGGATGGTAGTATGTTACAATTTCATGGATTTTGCATCGTACTCACTCCAATTGGGGTGAGGATGGATATAAGTATAGTGGATATTGTGTGGGTGTAGATGTAAAAAATCATACCCACTTTGGGTAGTGGGTAGGTGATGGGTTTAAGATCGTACCCACCCTGCATCCGTCCACCCACTAATTACCTACCAAATAAATATTGGACCATTATGAATTTATGTATAATTTCAGAGACTATTCTATAAATCTTAAAATTTTATAGGACATGACTTGTAATTTAACCAAATGTTAAGGTATAAACTCAAATAATCATTGGTTTATTTTATTATGCGTCTTAATGAATGTGTTTGTTTTATATTTTTATGTAATTTGAGGGTTGTTGCCACTCGGGTATGGGCGAGATTAGATGGATACGAAATGGGTGGTGGGTATCCAATTGAGTAATAGTGTGGGGATGAATTTGAGAATGTACTTGTCTGAGTCAGTGTGAATTTAAAATTTTTATCTATCATGAGTGGTGGGTAGGTAGTGGATACAAAATTATTATGTGGGATGGGGATGGGGAAGAGGTATATGCACCCGCCCAACCCGTTTACCATCTCTATATAAGAAGTTACCTCTTGATAACTTGGTTTTTGGTGGTCTTCGAGTTTTCCAACGAACAACGATGAAGATAAGCCCGTTTCTTCCTATTTTGTTCTTGATTTTTCTACTTCTCTTTGTTATCTCTTTTTTGGATTTTTGAATGGTTATGGATTATTTTGGTTCGAATGATGCTTAGTTTTTTTGTTTTTCATGTGTTCGTTTCTCTTTGTTTGTTTTCTTGTTTTTTTTATTCCTCTTGATGTATTTTTTTGTTTGAGTGAATGTGTTTTTGATGGAGATGGATTCTCTATTTGTTTTGGTTCTGTGAATGTTCCTTATTTGCTCTGATTTTTTTATTACTCTCATCCTTTTTTGATTGTTGATCTGCAGGTTATATCAAGGCTGAAATCCTCGTGATTTCCCTTTCATTCTTCTTCCAAAACCGTTGTGAATTTGTTTTGGCATTACTCGTGCGAAGGGAGGGATAACAGGTGCACGAGTGACTCCTATTGAGGTGTCTACTAGAGAGAATGGGGAACCACTGGCATATGGATGAAACATCATCTTTTGGCATCACTGCTGGAGACGGTTTTGGAATCTCGTGGGAGAGTTGGATCGGGTCATGTGCTTTTTATGCCTGTTTGTTCTAGAGGGCTATGAAGGGTTCTGGAGTTGCTACTGAAGATTAGGGTTTTTAGAACCCTAAATTCATATTGTTAAATCTAGATCATTAGATCCTTGATCCGGATCTAACGATTGGAAAATGAGCGATGGTAGCTGAAAGGGTTAAAAAACTCTAATTGTGTATGGTTATGACTCATGAGCTTCCTCTTTATCGGGCCAGAACTATTAATTAGATTTCACTTAGGCATGTAATATTAGGCTTGGGGCTGTTTGTATTGGCTATTTGTTTTCTTGTTTTTTTATTCCTCTTAATGTATTTTTTTTTTGTTTGAGTGAATCTGTGTTTTTGATGGAAATGATTTCTCTCTTTGTTTGGTTCTGTGAATGTTGCCTATTTGCTTTGGTTTTTTATTGCTCTCCTCCTTTTTTGATTATTGATCTGCAGGTTATATCAAGGTTGAAATCCTCATGATTTCCCTGTTATTCTTCTTCCAAAACCGTTGTGAATTTGTTTTAGCAGTATTCGTGCGAAAGGAGGAACCACGAGTGCACGAGTGACTCCTACTGAGGTGTCTACTGGAGAGAATAGGGGACCACTGGCATGTGGATGAAACATCATCTATTGGCATCATTGCTGGAGATGGTTCTGAAATCTCGTGGGAGAGTTGGATCGGGGCATGTGCTCTTCACGTCTGTTTGTTCTAGAAGGCTCTAAAGGGTTCTAGCGCTGTTGCTGAAGATTAGGGTTTTTGGAACCCTAAATTTGTATTATTAAATCTAGATCATTAGATCCTTGATCTGGATCTAACGATTGGAAAATGAGCGACGGTAGTTGAAAGGGTTAAAAAACTCTAATTGTATATGGTTATGACTCATGGGCTTCCTCTTTGTTGGGCCAGAGCTATTAGATTTCACTTAGGCTTGTAATATTAGGCTTGTGGCTGTTTGTATTTGTTTATTTGTAATATCTGTAAAAAATAAATAAATATTATATTAGTATTTATTTGATATTTTTTAATATTTATAATTACTACCGCTAATCGAAACATATAAAATTAATATTATAATCTAATTTATATTATATATGTATATATATATATATATATATATATATTATATAGTTATAAAAACTATATATTATATAACACTCAACCAATGCCTTTATAAACACGCATATACATATTTTTAATTAACTATAATTGATAACCAAAACATACATATTAAATAATAATTAATCTCTAAAAGTACATATAAAAAACTAGCCAAACTAATAAACCTAGTTTATTTACTATAACATATATAATTAAATAAAATTAATTAAAGAAAAAAACAATTAAATAATGAACATTTAAAACATAAAATGGAAATTCAAATTAAAAAGAAACTCAAATCAAAGTTGTCTACAGCTGTCCCTTTTTGCTCATTCTTGTATGAACACGAATAGGACAAATACAAAAGGATGACGAATATTTGTTCGATTCCATCTTTTGTTTTGAAATTCAATAGTGTCACAAGAGAGGCTAAAAATGATCTTTATCTCAAGGGAGATTTAAATTTGTATTCCAAGGGAAATATTTTTAGGGTTTGTATCTCGAGAAAAATAATCTCAAGGGAGATGATATTTTCTAAAGACATAATTTTAACATTCTTATTTCGAGAGAGGTAATATCAAAATTTTTATTTCAAAAGAAAAAAAATCTTAAGCTAGACAAAATTTGTTTCAAGATGTTGACAACGTTTTTTGCTCGGGAGGGGAAAGATCGATACCGACTTGGGGTTTTCCTTTGAAAAGAATTTTGAAATGTGAGGAGACACCACCAATCATTTAAGGTGCGATTGGGACACCATGAAAACTGGGTGATTTTAATAAAATGTTTTATTTTTATCAAAATGACAAGTTTTAAGGTCTGTGAAACTCCAAAAATCAGGTTCGAGAGTCAGTTACGCATGGGAAAGGATTAGCACCCCCACAAGCGGCCAATTATTGGTACTTAGGTGGTTAACCTATATTTAAAATTAGAAATTTTGAGATCAATCTTTATTTAACCTGAAAATCATTACGGATGCAAAGTTAAAAAGGGTATCCGTTTATTAAGGTCGATAGCATCATAAATGCGAGAGATAATCTATTGTGCCTAATAACATGACATTGCCTTAATTTCAGAAATCATGATGCAGTTTTGAAAAGGATGTCGACCTATTTTGAGAATCACCAGTAGTCACCCCCTGAGAATACTTGCGAGAGATATACCATTAATTCCCTAATAAGTGTACATTTCCTTAGGTTTAAAAAACAAAATGCATTCAAACAAATTTTTATTCATCCTAATAAAGCTAAGGGTAAATTAAGGTTTTTTACAGCTTAAAGTGTCAAATTATGAAAATTAATGAACCTAGGTGATTAAACCTAAATGTAGGATATAATATTTACCATATTGATTTTTAAATCAGTTATTGAATCGAATAACTGAGATGATCCCTTGAGAATTTAGGCGAGATCCAACTCATATTATTCCCTAAATTAAAAGTCTATTTTAAAATCTAACCTAAAATGGAGGCTTTAATATTAATTTAAATTAATTTTAAGACTGTAATAATTAAATTGGAACCTCGAGCAAAAGCGAGAACCAAATTAAGAATTCACCTAATTTAATGACTAAATCAGAATCGAATAATTAAAACATTATGGACTAAATCTAAAAAGTGATCTATCAAGGACTAAAGGGATACAAATATTAAAGACAAATACAACAGGTAAAAGTACTAAAATTAAAGTGCAAAAAAAAAAAAAATGAAGGGTAAAAATAAAATAACAAAATCTAAATTATTGGCTAAATCTAAACAAAATAAAAAAAATAGTTTAGGGACTAAAATAAAAAAAAATACAGAAACTAAAGGGACTAAAAATAATTATACATTTAATTTAAGCCTAAAATAACCTATTTAAATAAAAAAAAGGCAAAATTAAAAAATAATTCACATGCATTTAAAAAAAATTAAAAGGTCACTACACATGACTAAAGTGTAAAAACACGTTAAAAGTAGGGGACTAAACATAAATTTGTCCTTAAAATATATAACATACTTACAAATGGGTAAATCATAAATTTGGTCCCTATAGATGACTAACATGCAAAAACACGCGTAAAGTAGGGGGACTAAACATTAATTATACCAAAAATTACAAAGCATCAACATAAATGGGTAAATTATGATACAAGTCCCTTCTAGTGACCATTTTAAAAAAATGCATGTAAGTTAGGGGGACTAAAGTGCAATTTCCCCTAGCATGTTTTATAAATACAACATTTGGTTTTTTTCATTTAAAGGAAAAAAAAACGGAGAGAGCTCTCCCCTCTCTCCTTGGCCGGCAATAGGTCGGCCACCCCGAACCATTTTGGCCACGGTCATGACCCCAAAGACTCCAAAACCCCAGATCTACCCATCTAGGCCCCTACTTGGGGCTAAAACGCAGAGAAACAATCCCAAATTCGAGGGAAAACCCCAATCCCTTGGCTTCCTTGAACTCTGGCGATGCCTTCGATTAAGGTAAGCTTCGAATATATTATTTTCTTTTAGTTCTTTTGTATTGTTACTGTAAAAAACCTATTCTTTTATTTTGATTTTTTAAAAACGTCTCTTTTTAATGTTAATCGAAAGGGTAATAGAGTTTGAAACGATCCTAAAAGGTTATAACTTTAATTCGTAAAATAAAAAAAACCTTCATTTTCATAGATTTAGAAGCGAAAGAAGTAAAATAGCAACAGAGAAAACACCAAAAAATGATTCAAAATTAAAAATGAAAAAAGAAACCTTGAAATACTTATTGTTATTACTTTTAGAAAAAATCAGTACACAGAGAGTCTTTTAACCAGAAAACCAAGAGAGACTTTCTGGTTTTTGCATGGGTTTTTTATGCCCGTTTACAAGAAAATTAACATCATTGCTATCTTTTTTATTCTCTTTTGTTTATGATGCAGGGTAGTGTGAAGCTTGGTGGCGTGCATGGAGTGCTTTTCGGGCATTGGGGCCGAGAAGGGTAGCCTCTGGTTGGGGGAAAGGGGCGACTATCCTAGGAGTTAGGGTTAGATTCGGGTCTAGTTTTGGGTTATGGGTCTTGTTTTGGGTCTGTTTGGGTCTTATTTTGGGGCTATTTTTGTTTGGGCTTGAGGCTCGGTTGTAATGATAAAAAATGGCGATTACAGCTACCCCTCTTTGCTAATTACTGTGAAACAGGAATGAAACAAAGATAAAAAAACGCCATTTTTTGGCTCAATCTCTGTTCTTCAAGTTACGGGTTCCTCTCATCGTGATCTTTCCATTGGAAATGTTGATCCCTTGTGTGAGGCATTGTTGATTTGAAATGATGTGAATCGAGCAATAGGTCAAACAAGTTCTTTATTATGAATTCTTTATTGGAAATGTTGGTCCCTCGAGTGAGGCGTCGCTAATTCCAAATGACGTGGATCGAACAAAGGAAATGTGAAAACATCCTACCCGAAGGTCTTATGGATGGCCCGAAAGACTTATCATCTTGCTCAAAAGACTTATAGATGACCCAAAAGATTTTTGTTGATTCAAAATGCCGTGAATCGAGCAATCGGAAATATTAATCCCTCAAGTGGGGCGTCGCTGATTCGAAATGTCGTGAATCGAGCAAAGGAAATGTTAAACTCTTAAGTGAGGCATAGTTTGTTTTAAGAAAAAAATCTCAAGTGAGATAAAATTCTTGTTTCATGTGAAACAATTTCAAATTTTAAATTTGAAGGGAAACTTTCTCAAGCATGATGAAATTTTCTTTAAGAAAAACAATCTTGAGTGAAATGAAATTTCTTTTTTTGAGTAAAAACTGTGTCAAGCGTGAAAAAGTTTGTTTTAAGAAAAACAGTCTCAAGTGACATAAAATTTCTGTTTCGAGTGAAAACTATCTCAAGCAAGATGAATCTTGTTTTAAGAAAAACAATCTAAAGTGAGATAAAATTTCTGTTTCGAGTGAAACTATCTAAAGCGAGATAAAACCTTTCCTTCAAGTGAAACTATCTCAAGCGAGATGAATCTTTTTTTAGGAAAACAATCTCAAGTGAGATAAATATTCTGTTTCGAGTGAAACTATCTCAAGCGAGATGAATCTTTTTTTAAGAAAAACAATCTTAAATGAGCTAAATATTCTGTTTCGAGTGAAACTATCTGTTGTATTATATTTTGATATAACAATTAAGGTAAATGTTTTTGGACTTGAATTAAACTTATTCAAAGTTTTTCAAAAATAATTCAAAGTCCTTAAAGCTTGGAATTGAGCAAAAAACGTTTTTCTGGACAAGTAGTGCCGATACTATTCTTACAGTATCGATACCTCATGAACACTACTGATACTGTTCATATGGTACTGATACCAAAGGTAAGGGAAGTATCGATACTCACTAGGTAGTATCGATACTACCAGCAATGCTCAAATTCCATAATGCAAAAATTGTATCGATACCCAAAGGGGTATCGATACTACTATGTATAGTAGTATTGATACCATAGGCATAGTATCGACACCATCAGACCCAACGACTAGTAATGACTAGTTGATTTAAAAATAACAAAGGTAGTACCGATACTCCCTTTAGGAGTATCGATACCCTCTGTTCTAGGCAACTTTATTTTGCACGAAAATTGATCCCCAACGGCTCCAAAACAATCGCAACGGCTAGAAATGATCACAAGAACATTCCAACATATAAAAACAAGTTGAGGACACTTGAAGAAGGGTTAGAACACCTATCCAAGCTTTCAAACACAAGAGAAGAGCTTTTCACTCTTTATTCCAATTCTCTTATAAGTATTTTGTTCTTGTGAGCTAAATTTTGTAAACACCCTACCTTGTAGAGGTTTATTTGTTTACTTCTTTTCACCTTTTATAAAGAGGTTTTTGGTTCTATCTTAGCCAATTCAAAAGATAGGGAATTGTAAAGGTTATCTCTTTATCCTTGAAAAGAAAGAAAAAAAAATAAGTGAATTTGTTAGAAAATCCTTAGTGAGGAGATAAGGTAGTGGATGTAGACTTGGTTGATAAGTCGAACCACTTTAAAACTTTGTGTTCATTGTACTATATTTTTGCTCTCCTTACTCCCTAATTACATTATTGTCAATTAACCCTATTTGCATATTTTTGGTTTTTCAATCGAGCCTCTTCAAATCCTAACACTATCTCAAGCGAGATAAATTTTTTTCTTCGAGTGAAACTATCTCAAGCGAGATGAATCTTGTTTTAGGAAAACAATCTCAAGTAAGATAAATATTTTTTTTTCGAGTGAAACTATCTCAAGCGAGATGAATCTTGTTTTAAGAAAAACAATCTCAAGTGAGCTAAATTTGCTGTTTCGAGTGAAGCTATCTTAAGTGAGATAAAATTTTTGCTTCTAGTGAAACTATCTCTAGCGAGATGAATCTTGTTTTAAGAAAAACAATCTCAAGTGAGATAAATTTTTGTATTAAATGAGATTGTCTCAAGCGAGACAATTTTTGTTTGAAAATGTTGAATCTGAAGATGATTGTTCATTCTTGTTGAGGACGTCTTGTTGTCTTTTAATCTTACTCTTTCTTGTAAGATCTGTAAAATGCATCTGAATGCAACTATCCTGAATGTCCTCATGAGAAGAGAAAATGTCATTGAAAAAGATAGGATTTCAAGAGAAATTTTAATGGTACCCTCATGAGAGAGGAAAATTAAATTTTTTACCGTATATGATGATGGATGTTTGATGCAAAGATGCAAATTCATGTATGTGTAAAGCATGTTATTTTTAATGGCAATGAAGAGGTGCTCAAGCAATCTTGGTTCTCTTCTTGATCTGTTCGCCTTCAATCTCCTCCCGCACTAAGGAGTAACATTGTATTTCTTTGCAAAAATCTGCTTTTCTTGATCCCTAACATTCAAATTCTTTGTCCAATTTCTAATTCTGTATTTCTAAATCCGAGGGACCTTTTTCAGATTCCAAGATACACTCCCTAAAGAGATTGTCTTGTTTTGAAAATACATTTTTTTCAAAATATGAAAAGTCTGTTGAAGAGAATAAACCATGCCATCTGTTAGGCTCACAATTGAAGCAAATTAAAGATCATGAGTTCACTAAATATCAAAAGAATCAAGAGCACTTTTAATATTTGAAAGTTATATTCTTTGACAAGTGCCAAAAATTGATAGGTTGGTTTTCAAGTTAGCTCCTTCAAGTTTCTAAGGTTTCAGTCATCAAGACGTCATTTCTTTCTTGGTCCTTGTGAACCTTATGAGATGCCCCTCTTTTTTGGCTTGACATTTTAATCAGGTGCGGACAAATGGTGCAACTAGCATAATTAATCACTAGACTTTCTAGAACACTTCTATTTCGGTTCTGTGAAATCTTCCCTTTACTCAAGCTTTATAGATTTCCTTTAGTAGAGGTAGTGTAGGGACATCAGTCTAAATATAAAATTCCTGAGTGCTTGTGTGAAGTCGACTATAACAGGTGTTCCTCAACTCCCTTAGTCCATTTTCATCAAAACTCATTATTAGATCAAACATAGGTATTACAAACTTTTTTATTGGAATTTATTTAATATGCCTTTGTTCAGGCATAGCTGAAGGATTCATCTCATCAAAAAGTCTTCGACATGACAATTGCAATGGAGCAAACACCGAAGTGCCCGGTATCCGATCAATGTCATGGTTTGAATGTAATCTATTCATAAAGCCATGGCTTTTGAGTTGCCTCTATAACCAATTGCTTTAGTGGAACAACTCAGATTTATTGTATAATCTATAAGAATGATAATTATTAACATTTTGAGTATTCAAATTTAGGATTTCTTAAGCTCATCGAGAAGATCATGTTATAGTCTAGGTGTCCTTGATAGTTAGTAAATCCCACATTTAGAGTTTAACTCATAAACAACTGACCTAAACTAAATTCGTCTACTCCTACAAAGATTAGAATCATCACTGAACGTCCTTAACAAAAGTTTAGTCTAGGCAGTTTTGCAATGTCATAGACAAGAGGCACCCCATGTTGTCCGCTCCTATTCATACCTGAATGCCAAGCCTCTTGATTATTTCCTCATGAGAGGAGAAGGCTATATTGGCCCCTTCAAGAGAAGGGTATGGTGTTCGAATGTATCATCTTTGGTAAGGTCAAGGATCCTTGTTTTATCAGTTTTCAATCTTGTCATTTTGTCAAAGATCTATAACTCTAACTTTTGAAAGAACTTTTAATCCAATGGATACTTAAAGAATTTCGAGTCTGGAAATTAATCATTGCTCATAACCTCAGAAGGTAGCATGTTATTTAAAATGTTCGATTGTCAAGTGACTTACAAACCTTTTAATGAAAAGAAAAAGAAAAGAGATTCAAACAAGACAATATATGAGTGCATCAAAAGTTCCTAGTGGTTGTAATGATTTTCTCGGTTTGCATCAGAATGCCCAATCACTCATCGAATGTCCATGCCCCCGAATCAATTAAATTATGAACCTTCCGCTTTAATGCCCCATAATTCTCAGTAGTATGCCCGAGCTTCCCAGGTGGTAGCTACACACTTCATTAGCATCATACCTTTCACGAAATGGGGGTTCTTTCGATTTAGACTAAACTCGAGTCAGGAGGCTCTTCTCAACTAGTAATGGGAGCAGTTCTTCATACGTCACTGGAATTTCACCAATAGGAGTCTTCTCTCGGGTCATTATATAAGGTTTGGTCCCATGATTAGCTGAATAATATCTCACGGTATTAACCTCAACTCCTTTCTTGACGTTAGTACCATCGGAGCTTCTTATCTTGCCACTCTTGATAGCTACTTTGATAATTTCTCCACTCATGACAATGTTAGAGAAATTCTTGGTGGCATCCCCTATCATGTGATTAACATAGGGAGATTTTAATGTATTGATGGACATAGTAGCGAACTCCCTTTTGGTCACTGGTGATGCACCTGAGAAGCAACATTCCTCCATCGTTGCGAATATTATTGAAAACTCTCGTTCCACTACATCACCATGCTTTGTAACATTTTTCGATCAAGGGCCAGATCAATCATGCGCTTGTATTGACCAAAAAAGGCTTGAACTAAGTCTTTCCAAGAACGGATTTGAGTACGTTTTTGTTGGTTATACCATTTGGAAGCAGATCTAGATAAACTATATTGGAAATAGTGGATTAACAACTTCTCATTCTCCACATAGCCAACCATTCGGTGACAGTACATGGTGATTTGGGATAAAGGACGTGTGGTCCCATTGTACTTCTCAAAATCTGGAATCTTGAACTTTGGTAGGAGAACCATATCAGGAACCAAACTTAGCTCTTTGGCTTCAAACCCATAAAATGACTCGACCGTCTCCTTAGATTTTATCACCTCTTCTATATTTTTCATTCTTTGGATAAGCTTTTCCTTTTCATCTAATTCATTTAGGTTAGGGACCTCGTTATCAGTACAACGTTCACTTGGATTCAACCCAGAAGCAGCAGGACAATCAACAGGTAATGAAGCTCCAACCTGACATTGTGAGTTCTAGACAGTAAGGTAGACTGGTGATCGGATTTCTTGATGCGCAGATGTGTGCTCAGGAATGTGAAAATGTGTAAAACCCAAAGGATGTGTGGGTTCTTCCACAATAGTCTTTCCAACGGTCGAATGTCTCCTAAATATTTTTTCCACCTTGTTCAGCAGATAGAGCTGAGAGTTTACGATACTATCTTCAATTTGTGCCAACTTGCTCCTCATTTGTTCTTGCATCTCTTTCTGCTCTCTCTCAATTTTGGTTAGCCTATCCTCTATTTCTTTAGGCATTTTCTTGTGTCGTACGGATGCTGAGCGTTCTTGCTACTAGTATGAACCAAGATCATTACGATCTAAAACCTTACCTTATTATTTTTATTTTAATGAATGAATGTTTTAATACATGATTTGGAAATGTATTAAGCAATAAAAATGTCATGCAAAACGAATGTTTGCAAATACATTGATCCCAAAAACACAATAAAGCACACAACAAGACAACCGAAAATCAAGCTAGTAAAATAATGACCAAATAAAAGAAATGTACATTAAAAAAATTTGAAATGATCATTAAATTCAATCGGTAAATAAACCATGAATATAAAGCATACAAATAAAATTAGAACACTAACCGCATGCATTATAGTTCTCTTAGGCTATCCATATGGCTCTAGCGGGTAGGTCTACTAAATTCTCTATATGTGGTTAGGTTCTAGCAAAGGTTCCCGAGCTATCTTCACAACCTACTAAGGTTGACTCTGATTCTAGCCCATTACAGATTTATGAATTGGATTCAGCTCGGGGGATCACACCACTAAAAGCGTACCTCAGATCTGATATTCGGATAGGCAACTTAGGATGCTTCCCAGAGATACTTTATCATACCTATATTGAGAAAAAAATTGTACATTTGATTATCTATGGAATAAGGTTCATAAACGTATTACTGGATGGACAAAGATGTTGTTATCTTATGGTGGTAGGGAGGTATTTCTAAAACCTTGATCATGCTATGTAAGTGCTATAAATTGAACCCAAAGTATATGCAAGTATACACAATCAAGAAAGTAATATAGTAGTGAGTATCATCTCTACAAGGATTGGTGGGGCTTAGAGTGAAGTTATTGCACAGAGTTGTCACTAAGTAAAAATATATATAGTGGTATAGACAAGTGATAAGGAAAATATTGTGGGAAAATTGATCTATATAAGGAGTGTGAGTATGAAAATGTTGCAGCAAATAATTAAATGAAAAGATATGACAAGCAGTAAAAGAAAACTGAACTTCAGCGAATGAAATAAGACTTCACAACCTCACACAATCAAGCATCTGTAGGGATAAATGATTCGGTTTGCTATGGCAACTAATATTATGTATATAGAACGGTCTATGAATTCCATGAGTATGTTGCTCAATAGGGCTTGCTATTAGTGCTCCTAGGCTATCTCTGGTAAGGAACCTGACTGAGAAATGCTACAGTAATACCTCTTAAAGTGAACTATAACACGATCCTACCGATTACATCCTACCTCTTTTAGTCAATAAAACCTTCTCCTTATCTTTACAGTGGATTAGAACATCACCATCCTGGTTTAATTCCATTTCTCATGTTGATCTAGCCTAACTCTCTCAATATTAAGCATCCAGACTTAGAAAATGGCTAACCCTCTAAATCTCTTACAAGTCTAAGAAATTAAAATATAAACAATGGGCAAAGCAACAGTTAACATAAAAACATCCAACCCTTCATTAATACAATATAAAAATCGTTCAAAGCAATCCCATGCCAAATAAGGTTAGTTCATGGCAGGGCTAAGTTTAACCGCTGCCTTGAACCGCTTTAGCAAGCTAGCCTCTCTCAAGGTCCTAGCTGCTATATTTTTGAATCTCGGCTATGGAGGACACCACGAAAAAGGAGGAAGAAAATAAATAAAAGAAAATAATGGAGGTCTTTGTTTTACCTCTTGTTGCCTCTCTCTTTTTCCTCTTTCCTTTTATCTTATTTATTTTAAAATAAATAAGAACTCTATAACTCCCAAGAATAATGGGATATAATGGACAATAAATTAGACATTAACTCACTAACTCCTCTTAAATTCTCATAAATTCCCTAACTACCAAGTTCTCCAATTCTCAAAAACTCTTCAACTCCTCCTTAATAATAAGATATCCTTGTCTTTATCTCTTAAAAATGGACTATTCCTTGCACATGTGTAGACTAGACAAGCTGACAGGTGGGCTTCACGCTTGGTCTTGGAAAACTGGCAACAATCATCAAAATACCTTCATATTTGTTTTTCTTTTATGCACCCATAAATGCTACCCAGAATGTTGTGGCATTGTTTTCTCTCAATTGACTCGTCAGTCTTTCAGATTTTCTTATCCAGAATATGTTGTAGCACTAATTTTAGCAATAAAAATATGTTGTAGCAAAACGTTTCCACAACATGCAAATGTATGACCTAAATGCAACTAAATGATATGAAATAGGCTTTCAAGCCATTAATAACCTAAGTAAAAAGGCACAAAATATAGCATTTTTACAGGGTTATCACACCCCTAAACCTAAACTATTTCTTGTCCTAAAGAAGTGGATAGTAATCAACTAAAGAAATGATTTGGAAAAGTTCAGTCTAAGACAGTTATGTGGCATAAAATTTTAGCACTAAAAAACAATTGGCTTCAACATGCTAGACAAATCGAAAGTTCAATAACTTTTTCCTAAAACAAGATCCTTTGCATGTGTGTGTTTGTATCCAATATATGCTTAACAAAATTAGAATATTTCTAGGAAAGCTTTATTTTCTGATATAACATTTACTCAACCTTAAAGCACACACTTATTCTCATTTCCTTAAGAATTCAAATTTTTTGTAATGCTACCATGAGATTCAGCCAATCACAACTACCGTCCCGCACTCTAGATGAACTGGAGAAAACATTCCATCTTGAGCTAGTAGGTAGATTTATCACGTGACTACTTTCATTCACTCCTATGCTAAGCAAAGAGGAGTGTCTCTCTATAGTTACGCCTAAGCATTTATTCACAATTGAACACATTCAATAAGCACAAGGGAGTTTAATTTAGCCTTTCAAACTATCATATAACATTCAAGTTCATTACATCAATTTATGCTAAGGCATGCAAGAGTCATTTCATAAAAAGTTTCTAATTTCCTTAAGCATAGAGAGCATACAATCGTGTATCAATTAATTGCAAAGAATCAAGTCCTAAAGTTGGTTCTATCAATCACAACAGTCATATACATTCGATCAATCACAACCTTAAAAAAATTCTCATCATCATTGGTCATTTAAAAGTTATTCCAAAAACTATTTTAAAACCTAATAAATGTCATAGAAAAAAATTGTTAACAACTATCAATGGAAATAGTTAACTATGAACACTACCTCCCCCAAACTCATAGGAAGCATTATCCTAATGCATGAAAACTAAACTCAAACTAAACTAGATGAAATGTACTGGAAAATAAAAATGCAATGAGGTACCTTATTTTGGTGGTGGTGTAGTCATATCGACTTATCGGTTAGTGTGTTTCCTTGATAATTTTAGGCCTTGTTGCTCTGGTTCTGGTTCTCACTTGATTTAGTCATTATCAACCCAAAATCACAGGAAAGATACTCCAAAGCGCACCGAAAATAAATCGGGAACTCATCCTAATCTATGATCAGTGAAAACGACTATAACAAGGTGACCTGTCGAATTGGTTTTGAGTGCACGACAAAAGGGAGTTTGCCTATGGTGGCGATGATGGAAACCAGTGATTGAGGCGGTTGAAAATCGCATCGGAACACAAAGAAAACCTTTAGTTTTTGGATGAGTTTTTGAACATTTTCCACAACAGACGGTGATTGTTTATCGACAGTGGTCTATAGTGATTTGATCAGACGGTGACGAAGTGTCAGTTGGTGCCGACAGTGACACCTACCGATTGAAGGTGGTGTTGAAACAAGAAGAGATGTGGTTGGATTGCTTGTCGCTGTTGAGCTTGGTGGTAACAGCGGTGTACATCGCCGATTGGAGGCAGCTAGCCGGAGGATAACGGGGAAGGGGTGGTTTTGGTTGGAGAAAAAAATAGTTTGGGGTTCTTGTTTTAAAAAATAAAGGGTAAGTGATCTGAACTAATGTAATCCCTCCCCACAACTACTGTATAATGTTTTATTATTTTATTACCCAAATAGTGCCTTCCATTCTTTGTGGTATTGGATGAAATCCATCGGCCACATTATTCATTTCATTCATTTTTTAAGCTGACAATTGATGGAAAATTTATGGGTTAGGTCCCTCAACTATCATCAAGCTTGTACAATATCCATCTTACTTCAAAAATAAATCATTTTAGTCCTAAACTTTTCCATTATTACGACTTTAATTTAATACTTTATATTAATAAAATTTAGCCCCTAAATTGGGGTGTGATAATTCTCCTCCCCTTAAAAGAATTTCATCCTCAAAATTCACCGGTCACATTAGCCTGTAAATGAAGTTTTCCTCAATTCTTCAATATCTCTCTATAGTTTTTACATGATTATGATTCCTCTACTAAACTTTAACCAGTTGTACATACATTCTCATCAAAACTCTCATTCGTTCCAAAAAAAACGAATTTGAACATAATTATCCTTATGGAATCAATTCGACCTTGGCTATGAGGTTAGGTTCATAGAGCGACAATATATTCCAATTTTATTTCTAAATTTAGGTCATAATTTCTCGAATGAAAAACTCTCACATTACTCATGAGACACTTTACAGAATTTGGACAAACATTAATGTATTCCTTTATGCATAGGTAGAGCCCTAACAAATTGAAAACTTAGGTTAGCTTGTTACAGAAAGGGACTTCACCTTGGAGTTCCAGCTTGGAGAAATACGGTTATAGTCTAGGGGCATGTACTAGCCAGACATCCTTTGACATTTGACTAGTCGGTCTACCCATAAAACTTGACTCAACCTAAGCTCTAATATCACTAAATGTAACACCCACAGATAAATGCAGGTGACCTGATCCGATCCGAGGTGTCACATTAAGGCCACCAGAGCGACCCACCGTAAAAATCCCAAAAAATTAATTTTTTTTTATTAAAACACGTAATATCATAAAACAATTTATATATCAAAAATATAATTTAACAATATCCAAAAAACATATGTCATACTTAGATATAAAAACATAATATAACCTACATGCCCCGTAATCACTTGCGCCGTACTCCGTAAGCAACGCCGATGAGACTCTTCTACTAATGTTGATAGCTTTACTGATTTGATTCTATTAACCTGAAATGGTGAGTAAAAGAGTGAGATTTGTGAAGCTAAGTAATACAAAACTACCAAGTGATGCTACATGACATGCAGGCAAAATGAACATTGTAATTTTTCCTTATTGACTTAACCGTATATAGGTTTTTGTAATGAGCTAAGGTTCCACTGATATTTCTTCGAGTAAAAGACATGAAGATTTCAGTTCATAGGAAACATTAAGAATACCAAGTTTTTAAGAGACCAGAATAGAATGTCTAGTGTGTTCCCACCAAAGCCAGTGAAGAGATACAAATCTTTTTAAAACAGTAATAATTTAAAGCATATTTTTAAAACCATAGTAGAACCCTCCAACTGAACACCTTTATTAAGTTCCCCAGAATTACATCCATAAGGTATTACCCTAAGCACACAAAAAATGAGCCACCCTAAGGGAATGCATTGGGGCCTATGGCCTATCCAAGGGTCACCTTAGGTCCATAAATATTTACCATCTTGATCAGAGCTGAACGTACATACTCCAGAATCCTACCCATACAATATCCAATAGAAATTAGATTTAACAATAAACAGTAATATCTGGACAGTGATCCAGTAAAATCTCGTAAGCGTGATAATGAAATAAACCATATAACTGCCCTCCACCCGTACACCATATATAGTCTCATGATTAACCCAAAGGATTTCCTTGGGGCCTGAGAGCCTATCCAAGAAAGTTTCTTGGGGCCTCGGAGCCTACCCAAGGGTCACTTTAGCTTTGTAAGGATTTACCAGCTTGATTAGAGTTGAACCTCCATACTTTAGCCTACTGAGATAATGTATCAATAAAACTGTTCAAGTAGTAACCAATAGATTTCATGATCCATAAATCAGGAACGATCATATTTTTTTATTGAAAACAAGATACCATATAACTCATTTCAGGTAAACTTAGTTCATAAACCAGTATATTCCATTATCCATAAATCAGGAACGATCATATTTTACAGTGAAAACCGGTAACCAGAGAACATATTTCAAGTAACCATAATTTATAAATAGTAAATCAGTGATTTCAAAAAATCAAGTTTAAAATAGGTAAAACATTTACATGTCACATAAGAAACACACTAGAGGATCCATATATTATTCGGAGATACTTGGTATTTATCAGGTAGAAAACCATGATATATTTGTAATTTAATATGATTTCATAATCAAGATCCCTATAAAAGGGGATTTGATAGCTAACCGATTCATCATTTATTCGAGAAATGATTTATCAAGATCATACAATATTAATATATTTTGCATAGGAAATTGAGTATCAGGAAGGCATTCAAAATCTTTTACATCAGAATTACTGAAGATTTAGACATAACATGAATGTTCCCATTATTCAGGCAAATCAGGGGCATTTTAGACATTTTATTATTGGAGAATTATAAGTAATTTAATATAATAAGAATAGAGTGATGATTTATGGTATTTAAGATTATACATTGAATTATCAGGATTTCGAGTCTAATTGAACTACAGATCCGAATACTGCGATACTTGTCAATCATTAGGACTATGATACTTCACTATTATTCACTTCTTATTACTGGCTGCACCAGCTGAACTGATCAATATCATAATCATCTTTGATCAGTTATTGAGGAGACAAATAGGTATCCCATTGGTATTTATTTCATTTCTACTTTGTAATATTATCCCAAAATGTCCGACGACTTGGGTCGTGCTCCATAACCTTTAGAGGCAGTACATCATTTAGGTTCATTGATGTTCCCATAGTCTATCCAACGATATTCACTTAATCCAAGTCATAAAATTATTTAGGTCTTCTCAGTAATTAGGGTTATTTTAGTCATTTTGGGGTCCACGCACATTAGTTATCTCAAAACTTGAGAATAATCCATCATTTAAATACTTCAGTGATGTATCACACTTCTAGTAATCTAATCTTCAAATGATCATTCAAAAATAAGGGGATCACCGTATTAAGAATTTTCCAAATGTAGAAGTTTTTTTTGGATTTTCAAATAGATCAAGAATTTAATTGGTGATTCCAAGATTCAAGCAAATCAAAATTCAGGTCATCACTATTATCATAGCCATCCATAGTCCTTTTTACATTTTAATCGTATTATCGTCATTCCATTCAATTCTTTCAGTGGCATTACTTTCGATAAATTAGGCTTCAAAGTATTCTAGATCCTTTAGAGTTCAGGGTATCTTGGTCATTTGATCATTGGAGGTTATTTTAGTTATTTCGTAGTTCGAGGACATTTTGGTAATTTCTTTTCAATCCAAACATATGCACTTTTTCTGATAATTGGTCAAGTATCCTTTTTGGGTTATTTTCACCATCAAAGAAAGTTTTGGTCTTTTACAGTATAAGGGTATTTTCATAATTTTACCCCATAGGCCTATTTTTGGTAATTTCTTATCTAAATATTCCTGATATTTAACCTTTAAAGAAATAAGTCAAAATGTATTGATCTTGAAGTCAATTCATTTATTAATAAATCTTTGAACTTATAATTATTTTCGATCGATCTTCTAGTTTCTTATACGAGCCATATGAGTCTTATACATTTATTGTCTTTTTACCGAAATTATGTTCGAGTCCAAAAATAATTAATTTTACCCAAAAGACCAACCATTTCATCGATGCAATTACCAATTATCAACAAGTTTCGAAAAGTATACAAAAGGTAGTAAAGTATCACCTCTAACTTCGTGCTCTACCGATCGAACATTTAATCTTTATTCGATCACTCTCGAACTTAAATTCAATCTCCCATAAGTCTCGAATACATAGAAAATGAATTTACATCAGAAACTGAACTTAAATGAAAAACCAAATTGAATCCGAATATAAAACACTGAAAAATGGCTTACCGAGTGTAAATTTGGCAAAACAGACTTCAGAGTTGGACTCAGGACATCGAAAAACATAAAATATGTATTTTCAAAAAAAGATTTACTTTTTGATCAAAGTCA